AAAGGCTTAGAAAATACAAATTCACAGCCTTGCAATCAGTCAGAAAAAACATCTTATCCCTTCCATAGTCCCATTTTGCCACATAACCACAAATTTCAATATATTTCATTTGTTACACAAACACCAAATAGTGAAAGTATAAAGTTGAAAGAAAGCAATACAACATTTTTATTTCCATAAATGAATATCTGAGCTGTATTTGTACTCGGCAGTTTCTAACTCTTCATTGTATTCAGCTAAATCCAACTTCGAATTATTTCTGAAAAAGAGAGAAGCATCCCAAAAGCTTGTCAAACTGTAAAGTTTATTTTTGCATGGCTTCTTGCCACTCTTCCATAAAAGCCAGAGTTGCGGAGTGCATGAATAAAAACTCAAATACTTGATTTGAGACTCCCTCCCACCTGAGCCGTGCGTTCCTGTGGCTCCTCCAGAGCTTTCATGGGGATCTTGGCTGCTTCTCATTTGAAGTTCCAGTTTACCCATTTACAGATTCTTTCTGACACATTCAAACCTTAGGATGTTTTACAACCAAAAAATGCTTGGGACAATAAAAAATAAAGACATTCCAATGCCATAAATAGCTCAGGGAGTATGAATACTTTTTCACTTTTGAAGCGCGAGTCAGAATCCACCCTTATAACTCTTTAGCTGACAAGCTGTGACTGTAAACAGAAGTTTCACGTCACTTTCACCCTCTTGTTAGTGCACACCTGATGGTATCTGATGTTAGATTACACCTACCTTCATGTGTGGGGGGTAAGAGCTGCCTGGTGCTGCAGGAGGTGGAGCCGTGGCAGGTGAAAGAGGAGGAGGAGCAGAAGCTGCAGATGAAGGAGCAGCACCAGCAGATTTGACAGACTCCAATGTTACATCCTTAAATGCTGGGATAAGCTCTGGGCTGGAGGAGAACATTTGCACAAACATTTAATTTAGATCCTCATTTGATCATTTTCTGAATGAGTAGAAAGTTTGCCATGAATTGATATAAATACACAGCACTGACTTGTCAACTGTGATGCAGATTACTGATCCAACATTGACATCTCTGGTGCCTTCAGGGACCAGGATCTTTGCTAGATAGCATTCTTCCAGCATCTCAAAGCCTACAGTGGCTTTATCTGTCTCTACCTGCAAAGGTGGTTAAATAAAGTGAAGTATGTAGTATACTTTTGGATTGTATTAGAATGCTTTTTTTTTTTTTACATTTGTACAATAAAACAGCAGCCAACCTCAGCTATAAGGTCCCCCTCACTGATTTTATCCCCTTCCTTCTTCTCCCAGCGAGCGATTGTTCCCGTCTGCATGGTGGGCGAGAGAGCAGGAAGCTCCACCTGATTAACAACAAGAACGAACAGAAAAGTCATCCAAGAGTACACATTTAAACAACCCATCATGTTATTATAATTTCATCTGAGGATTTGTAAACAATGTCAGCTGTTGTGAGCAGAGTTGCAGCGTCATCATCGCCTCATTTGACTGTTCAATAAAATGGCTCACACGTCCGATTTCATCACATCTGCAGACTTTGCGGTGGCCACTCAGGTCAAGTGACATCTGATAGCAGAGATAGCAGATGTCACTCTCTCCTGCCAGCAGGAGAGTGTGGGAGATTTCCCCAAATAAACCTGTATTACACTAAAGAGAAAATAAATAATTTATCTAATCTGAATGGTGAAAAACAGAACAGGATCATTTGAAAATGTCTGGAATATTAAAATATCTTTATGACGTAGTAACTAAGAAAAGGACAGCTATTGACTGCTCTTTCACATTAATTTTTTTAAATAAAATGAATAAAACAAACATTTATTTTTTCTAAATCAAGATTTTAGTCCAAGTCGGTATGAATTCACCCAACTACTGATGCTTAAAAACATCTTCTGCAAAAGTATTAAATCAAATCCCTGCTAATTAATCTGAATTCTTTCTGAACAGCAGCTTTTTTAAAACACTGATTCTTCTTGCACTGCATTTAGATAAAAAGTTGGATATTTTTGACATAAAGTGACACTGAATAGTGGAATGAAAACATCAGAAACTCAGAACAATGTAAATGTTTCCATATGCAAAATATGTACAAAAATATTTGTTACAAAAAAGTTTTGATATATGTAAATAGTCAGTGTTGGAGCTATTTACAGGTCCTTAAAAAAGCCTATAACAGATTAAAAAAGCCTTAAGGTTCAAACTCCAGCAGGACAACAATACAAAACATAATTTCAGACCTACATGATTGAAATCAAAGCAAATTATTATTATTTTTTGGAATGGCCCAATCAAAGGAAATGGATGAGGACATACCATGCTTAACAAAAAAAATAAATAAAGCCAGCTCATCATTCTTAAGTTGAGCACGCCATCCCCATTGAGAAACATGATGGTAGCAGCCTCATGTGGAGGGAATGTTTTTGTTTTTCAGCAGAGATGCTCGTCAGGATTCAAGAACATGAATGGAGCTAAATACGTGCCAGTTCTGTAAGTAAATCCACGCTACAGTTTGTACATTATTTATAACCAAAATTTAAATCTGTATATCATTTTTCTTCTTCACTCCTATATAAACTTGTGTTGATCTGTCATAAAAACATTGATGTTATGTGATGTTAAGAATAAAAAAAAAGGTAACATGGGGTTTGAATACTTTGGCAAGGCGCTGTAAATTCCCAATTTTAAGGTCAGACTTCATCGTTTTGTCAACTTGATTGTTTTAAATCCAGTTGTTACAAAGAAACGCAGCGTCAACACTCATACAGGTGTGACAGCTGCCTGATGTAGCTGACGGCTCTCTGCTGCTAGCTGCTACCGTGAGCCTTGGTGCTATAGCAACCGGTCAGGTAACCTTACCTTCTGGTGAGGAGGGAGACTGTAGAAGCGGCTGCTCTGAAACCCACCAGCCAGCTGAGGACACCGCAGGAGAGTCGCTCTGTGACCGAGACTCGAACCGAGGGAAAGGACACGGGAGCCCGCTCCGCAGTGAAGCCGCCTCAGACAGCCGGTGACGGGCACAGACCGAGAGCCGAGCGTGGAAGGCCCCGCCGGGAGGGCACGGGGACAGGAGAGCCCGGCGGACGGCCTGAGCCGGAGAATTAAACGAATCATTTCGCAGCGCTTGAAATACTACACGGGGACGTTAAATAACGTATTTGCCTCACATCGGCATCAGAAACTAGCTGGCACTGAGTTAGTCTGTGCCCGGACTTCTTCCTCCTCACTTTCTAATGACCTCCTCCAGTCCAAAACACAACGCTTTACGGCTCTGGTTGACTGCAGTTTACGACAGCGTCTTAACGTCTTTAGAGGAGGTGTCGTAAATGTCGGCCACCAAAGTTTAGTCTTGCAATAATCTCCAAAGTTTGAAATGAAGGTAGAATTCAAAACACAGTAAATAAAAGAAATAATATTTACAACACGTTTTGGTGCGAAATAAACTATTGAAAAGTTGTAAAGTTAGTTTGCTGCAATACCACTCGGAGGCACATGGTGGCAGTAAACATGGCATACCCATAGAACAAAACAGCACAACCTAAAAATGTTCTTTCTGCTTTATTATTCACTACTTTGTGACGTTCCATCCAGTGGCGGAGCTAGACTTTTTTTCAAGGAGTGGCCAAAGGGTGAGCAAGGCTTTATCAGAGGGTCCATATACAAATGGACCGTTCCATGGAACGAAAGGAAAAAAATATTTGTTTCCTTTCGTTCAAAATTAATTAATATAACTAGTTAGGTTATAATTCAAAGCTTTCATATGACATAGCCTACTTACATTTCAGTCATAAAACTTAATGGTTTTTCACATATTCTTACCACACATTTCAAGCAAGAGCTGGGAGATATAAAACATTAGAGGGCAGCATGTCACTAAAACATATGTTAAAAGAATCTGTCTAAAACACGATCTATCAGTACTAGCATGGCTAATATAATAAACGAGGCACTATGCAGCGGTGCACAACCATTTCTTTTTCTTTTTAGAAATGTATGACAAGTGCCGCCTCTCATTAGGAAGGTAACGGCGGTTACCGCTGAGCGGTAAAATGTAAATACCTGCAAAACTCCTTGACGGTGTAACTCTAAAGCCGCGGGTGTTTTGGATCAAGCAGGAACCGCATGTCAGTTTAACCAATGAACAGCGTCGGGCATCGGGCTGCCTTCAGGGACAGTCGGAAATTACAGTTTTCCTGGCAAATCTTTGCCGATCTCATAAGTATTATATTTTAAAATTACCATTTCCAGTGGGGTGGCACTAGGGATGGCCAGGGCTCTGCTGGGGGTGGCAAGTGCCACCCCGGCCACCCCTCTGGCTCCGCCACTGGTTCCATCACATAAAATCCCAATAAAATACATTGCAGGTTGTTGTAATGTAAAATAAATTGCAACAAGGAAGAATTCATCTGATGCATTTTCTCTAATCTTTTCTAAACATGGACTGACTGAAGCATAATGCAAATAGACATAATATGGCTTTTTTTCTTTTCCACTTCCAAAACTTCAATAAGTTTAGGTTTGTATTGTGCCTAAGGAGATGTTCAAAGCTTTCAGTACTTGCACAAGATTAGGTGTATCAGCATTGAAGGGACTAAACAGATTATGCGCAATATTTTAATTTCTTTTTAAATTTGAAAACTATATACAACTCTTACAGTTATGAACCATCTTGTGTTGGCCCACAATATAACTTACCAAAATACTTAGGACTGTGTGGTTCCAACATGAGAAAAATAAAAAGATTCCAGCTATATTGGGGTATCAAGGCACCACTTCATTTGCAAGTGTAAAAATAGTTCAAACATAACAGTATAAAACATGAAATATAATATTTCTAGCCTATTTATACTGTAGCTGTATTTGAAGTACAACTGTGTGTAGCCATAAAGTGGGTAACAATAAGTGGCAAAAAAATCTCTGATGAAAGCATTTCTTAAGTGCAAGTAAGCATACAACACAACACAGCTCTTGGTAAAAAAAAAAAAAATGAAGTAGCAGAATCATAGATGCAAATGCACATTACAAAGCAGCATACAAAAATTTTATTTCAAAATGTAAAACATCCAAAGGCTTTTCCTTCCCAAACATGCAAATATTCATACTTTGCTAAATAAAATCTCAACAAACACCATAAATTGGAAAATACCATCTCACCAGAAAATAAACCTTTAACATAAATATGATCTTATTCAAAATATTAAGAGACATAGTCTATAATTACAAAAAAATGGAGACAGGTAAGGGAAGAGGCCTTTTTGTCTAAATTTCTACATGGGCACATACATGTGTTCTTCCAATGACAATGAGTTCAGATACTTTAAGGCTTTTTCTTTATACAACTGTAACTATTCTCTGCAAATGCTTCCTGCTACCACTAGGTGGCAGGCAAAACTGCAACTCTAGGACAAAATGTTTTGTCCCACAAAATTTTAAAAAATAGGTAAATTTCTGTAAATTTGTTTAGTCTCATCCTATCTATTCTGTCCTCCAAGCAGTAGCAAAAAACATTGTTCTGTTTTCTCATAAATTTTTTTTCTAATTAGTTTGTGATTTTATATTATTTAAACAAGAACTAATATAGTTGCATAAATATCTATAAAAAAATATTTGTTTTTCATCTAATTCTCCATGTAAGCCTCAGTACAGTAGTTTCAAATCCACTTAGTCCAAAAGAATGTTCTCGACTATTTTTCTACAGCAGTTATAATGTGGCAATATTAGGAACATGACAAGATCAGCTTTCCTTTGTAAGGCAGTCTTATAATTTCATTTCTGTCAGATATTTGCACAGACTGTAGAGATATTCAATTTATATTTAATAATCTAAAAAAATGCTATGTTCTTACAGCATTGTGTTAATTTGTCCAGTCTCCAACACTGTGAATATTTTTTAGCTGCTCCGCTTGAATCTATAAAGGTCTAAAACAGAAAAGAAAATGAGTCTGTTGTCATAGAGAGTAATTAAAGTGGCTGAGAGACACAACAGTGATTATTACCTCTCATCGCCGTGGCCTGGCTGGTCCTCTTCCAGCCAGGCCACTATTTTTCCCTCCCAGCCTGGAACAATTGCTCCATCCAGGAACACCTGGAGAAAAACAGAAACATTTCATCTTGCTGAAATGCTCAATCTCAGTCTCACCCAAATTCAGCTGGTTTCCACTTAAACTCCCTACAATATTTAGCAAACTAAACTTTAGTGATAAAAAAGTTTAGATTATTTGAAAAAATATTTAAAACTTAACACATCTTTATGAGGGGTGCCAATACATGCAATCACTATCATGGTGACACACTGTCACCCTGTTTTTATCTTTCTCTCTGTCTTAGACTTACCTCCTCTTTTACAGTGCCAAACTCTGGGTCCAAAGCCTTGAAGTGGTACCTGTAGTTTCCCTCTTGATCAACAGCCGCCTTGACATCCTTCAGAGTTACTTCACCCAGCCTGCATAATGCATGTCAAGAAAAAGAATTGAACTTTTCTCGTTTTTTATGACATTTTGAATCATTTTGCTTATTGTATGTTCTATCTGTATTGCACCGACAAGATCAGTTGTATTAATGAATGGTACACAGAAGCTATATTTTCTTACTTAGCATTAAAGAAAACATATATTTTATTTTAAACAAAGATACAAACCTCTTGGGAATATTGATCATGGAGGGTGTTGGGGATTTTCCAATAAAGTAAAGGATTTTTGTAGAAGAAGGTGAACCATTTTGTGACTGACAACTCTCTGCAGCAAACAGAGGTTTCAGTTAGAGAAAAGTTTAAGTTAGAAATGTTTCGTCACAATTACTGTTTTTGACCGAATAGAGATTCTTACGGAAGGAAGTCCAAGAGTCCAACTCTGTGTGCTGACCTTTCCGTCTCGGTGATTTCCCTCTGCCCTACAGATGGAAAGAAAAAATATTCAGAGTGTAATTAAATCACCCTCAAAAACATTTTTTTCATTGTGCATAATAATGCAGTAAACGATGACCGTGTGTTAGATTTCACTGTGCATTTTCTATAAACTGCTGTACTGTGTATTTTCCAGAGACAAAATGCCATTTTATAGCACAATCACGTAACTGTGATGGCTTCATATGCTGCATATATGAAAAATAACTTAAAAGAAATGTGACTTAGCAATAAGATGCCTTAAGATTGGGCTGGGGACTCAAGTTACAATGATCAGCTTTAATCCATACATGGTCTGAACTATTTATTCTGGTTTACAACTAAGTATTTGGTTAAATGTTCCCTTGAGAATTGCACCATGACCACACTCCATTGGTATTCTGTCAGGGAGTGAGATTTCAAGCAGTCCACAAACTTTCAGTGGGATGTTTGGTTTTTCTGGGAGGTCATTAATGAAGTTATTACATGTCACCCTTCTGGAATATCAAATTTAATCCCAATTTCAACCATTTGAAATTGGGATTAAATTTGTTAATCTGTGACTGTCACTGACAGATTAACAACTGAAGCTGAAGTCTTCTATGAATTGAAAACTGTTCCAACACTAGTATATCTTTCCACAGTGGATTAAAGTTTGAATCACTATTGACTAAAAGAGTGACAACTGTCCACACAGATAAGCCAAATGCCTTTAGGTGAAGATAATTTTGGTCAAGATGAGGCTTTGACCTACTAACAATATGCCTACTATTCAACATGGCAGTGGTAGCATAATGTCCAGGGCTTGTTCAGCAGTGGATTTTAGCTGAGAAAGATTGAAAAACAAGACACGAAGTTCACTTATACATTTTTCAAAATTACCTCAATTTGACTGCTAGATATTGAAAACATGGATAATTTGGTGGTCCAACAGGACGACGTTCCCAAATGCACACTGAAACTGGTTTTGGAATGGAAGAAGCAGGCCAATATTATGCTTTTGAAAGGGCACCAAACTCAAGTCTACTGGAAATGGACTATGTTTAAAAGCTGAAAAGAGTGTAAACAAATATGCATCCATATCTAAACATTTAACCAGAAATGTACTTTTCAAATATAGTTTCCTAAACCAGGACATTTGTTTGAAGCTGTGATACCCTGTGAGTATGCACAACATGCAGTCTGTCGATGAGTGACACGATTCCCTGCTCCAAGGTGTCCAGTGTATGGTGCTGTGGGTCGTGGTCTCTGAAGTTGTTCCGCAGGCTCCTCAGCGCGTCTCTGAGCAGCTGGACCTCCTCCGCCTGCTAGCAGAGCAAAACCAAAACACTCTTTCAGCCAAATGCACCATGAACCCATCTCGGACAGATCACTTTGTCTTTGCACATCAGACAAGTTGAGCCATTTGTGAGTGTTTCTATGTGATATGCAATTAATATTTCAGAAGAAAACGTGACATTTAGCAACATTCATCTGAGCAATAAAGTGTGTGTTGGGGATTTTCTGTCTAACTGGTTGAGGCTATCCAGTCGAAAACATTCATAAGTTTGTGATTACCACCTGAGGCAGATTAGAGCAGTAGATTCTCCCGCTCCCTGTTCCATGTTAAGATTTCTTATTTGATTGAAAGATGTAAAAATATGTGTGGCTCACAGAACAAAATGTTGATATGAGATGGGCAATAGGACCATGTCAACCTTAATATGACAGAAATGAAATATAAAGTAAATCTATTCAGTCTTCAACTGTCAGAAAGAGAAATAATACTTACACCTGACACCGAAGGAGCTGGGTTTCCAGAGTAAGAATATTCATTGTTTTCTGCGCTGACTGGAATCTGATAAAGAAAAAAAATAGCTGTAGGGAGAACGGGTGTGTTCTTTATGGCAGCAAAAAAAAAAAAAAAAAAAAAAAAAAGAAACAGCAAAGCACAGAAACAGCGTTACCTCTTGCAGATTTCTACTCATTAGCTCCTGTAGCATGTCATTTGTATGCTCCAACTCTCTTTGTGCTTCAGCCTATGAAGAAAGTCACATGATCAAAAGTTGGGAACATTTCATGTATGAAGATTGCCCATAATTAACTCGCTGGTGTCTCCCCGTTTATTGTTTCACAGATGTTGGCATGTCTAACATCTGTCATACAGTTGTAAAGAGGAAGAAATCAAATGAATTTTGAGAAACATCAAGCTTCGTCAACTTTATGACGTCCTTCATGCCTAACTCTACTCTAACCATCTCAGGATGAAAGTTCAAAGCCCTACCAGTGACTCTCAAGCCAATATGCATGATTCATTACTACTCTTGCTGAGAAACTTGTAACTTTTGTAGCAGGGTGTTATCTGAATTATTAAAGTAGTTCACTTTACTCCTCAATCCAGCAAATTAACATACCTGGAGTTTTTGGCTTTCTTCTAGTTTGTGTTTGAACTGTTGGAGTAACCTGTCCTTCTGGCCGACATCCTTCTGCTTCCAGCCACATAAAGAAGACATATTAGATTCTTTATTCAACTCAAACTCATTTGATGTTAACAAACAAGATTAATTAAACAAAATGAATTGTATTGAAGCCTGTCACCTGGCATTCACCCCACAGCCTGTTGCATTCTTCCAGCTTCCACTTCAGCTCTGCCTACAGCACATCATTACAGAAAAGGAGAATCCATGACACTTCTAAACAATCTTCGTAAATACCATTTTGAAAATAATTTTAAATGCAGTGTTTTAATGATTTTCCATGATCATAAATAAGAAAAGGAAGAATAATTTTTAAGAGAAGCCTGAATGTATTTCGTACGTGGTGGTTGTTGAGTTCATCTTTTGTCATGCTAGCTCGGAGAAGTTCCTGCTTCATCTGCAGGATAGATGCTTCCTGAGTGCATAGCCTCTGCTGCTGGGCTTCCTGCGCAATAAGAACCAAACACAAAGTCAAGACCTGAATCGGAAAATTATTAAAAACGTTATAACAATGCTGCTTCGACTCACCTTAACTGCCTGCAGGTTTCTGATCTCCTGCTTACAGAGCAACAGCTCTCTCTAACATGAGGAGCAAAGAACACAATGCATTAAACATTCATGCCAGAGTGCATTCTGTACTTACAAAAATCTTGTTCCTAACAGAAGAAACAAATCAAATATTAACATAAAAAAGATAACATATTGTGTACCTTAAGCTCTGTGACCTCCATACTCTGATCCAAACGGCTGCGAGTGACTATCTGGAAGAGAAAAAGGTGTGTGAGAACTACAACAGAGGGAAAATAAAGGGAAACTGATATCCGTGTCGCTCTCTGACATACACAAGCACGCACATACTCAAATGGCTCAGGAAAAAGTAATGTGATCTGCAGCGAGCACAAAAAAACCTCAAAAGATTCAGAATTGAGACCAAGAAGAATCAGACGGACAGAAAATTGAGTCAACAGTGAAAGAAGATAAATAAATCACGTAAACTAAAACCTACCAGCTGTTCAGTATTGACTGGCTCCAATGTCAAAGACACGTCCTGTTTATCCTCAGGGAGAGAGCCATGCAGCAGCAGAGCCTGGAAAAAAACCCAGTCAAACATGTGACACCAATTTGTACTTTGCGGTGAAGCCACTCACCCATTAGCTGACAAACTATCCTTTATTTAAAGTGAAGTTAAGTTTGTGCAAAATATACATAAACTAAGCAAACAAAACAAAAACTGCCAAAGATGAAGGTCTTACAATTAGGTTTCAGCCAAGACAGTTTTTGTTTTACTTTCAGGAGCTTTTACTATATTTTGACTCTCCTCATAAAGCCAACCAAATTTATTGGCTCTCCTCGCCAAGGTGTGCTGAAGAAATTAAAATAATTCCATCTTGTAATGCAGAGGTACAATCTCACCATTACATAAAAATCCAGGTAGTGTTTTCTTATACTCTATACATCAAATTAGTTAACTGGTTTAAAGTTATAAGGAATGATTCAGATGTCTTTTTCTCTTAGATTCTGGCCTCCAGAATAGACGAGAGGCCATGTTCCTCTTGCCATCACACACTATTAGAAAACTGCTGCAACGAGATGCACGTATTGACGACCAAAACCTCCACAGCAACAATGGATGACCACTGGTTGTATGGGAGTAAAAGAAGAAAAAATAAACCACTTTCTGTTCTACCATCATAAACGAAAACCTGCGGAGCCAAAGCCGTAACTAGAATTGTGTGCTTTGGTCACATGAGAGTAAAATTAAGCTGTTCAGCAAAAAACACTCCAATGGGGTTCAGCTTCAAACAAAAGATATATAAAAGAAAATATTATGCCCATTGTTCAGAATGGTAAACAATGGGTAGATGATGCTTTGGAAGAATGCACAACATCATCATCACTTAGATGATTATTATAATAATTTAAATAATAACTGAACGTCTTAAAAACATTTTTTTGTAACACGTTTTTCTCCTTCATGAAATAAATTACCTTCAGTGTGAGATTTAGCTACTGCAATAAAAGATCGATTAATCTAAAGAAATTCTTGCAATTCTGTGATTACAGTGTGAAATTATTGGATAAGAGCTGCATTATTAAATCAAGAATTGTGCAGAAAGGTATCAAATCTGAGGGAAAAAAAAACAAAATCATTCTCATCTTTTGATACTGTTAAAAGAAGGGAATGTTATTGCCTCATCCTTGTCGCCATACCTGTAGGGCAGACACCATCTTCCATGTCTCTTGAACCTCCTCCAAGGTTTCACTCAGACAATCTTCCAGTGCCATTTTTACTACAGCATTAGATGACTCCACTACGAGCACACACATAAATGAGTTACACAAGCCAAGTGAGTATGTTTTGATGCTCACTGTAGGCTCGACAAGACGTACCGCTGCTCTCCTGCTCCTGCTGCAGGCTGTCATGCGCCTGTCGGTCAGAGTTGCTGCTCTGCTGACTTCTTGATGACGATAGTGAAGTGACGAGCTGAGGCTCACAAGAGACAAAAACACCAATTAATCTAACTATTGGTAAATATTTTATTGGCCAACTAAATTGGCAATATTCCAGTCTATCCCCAGTGGTGGTTTGGTCATCAGAGCTTGCAGCCGAGGGATTTTGAACACTTTGTCTTCCTTTATAGTAATTCTTAAAGAGAAGTCTGCATTACAAAAATTAGAGATCAGAAATTGCCTACAAAATTCTGATTGTTGGATCTCTGCTCTGCGGTCCAGCTCATATGCTTTTGTAACTTATTTCTGCTTAATTTGGCAGATGATCACAGGTTTAGCATCAGCACTAACCAATCCAACTTCTCTGAACACCTTTTGGTGCATGTGGACCACTTGATAGTGAAATATTCAAGGAGAATCAGTTGTAAAAACAGTAAATAACTCATCAACACAGCAATTTCAAGGACAAAATAATAAGCTGCAGCAAAATTCAATGCAATATTCAGAGAGAAGGGACTTTAACCATGTTTGTGATGTGTATATTTTCACCAATGCTAAAGGCAACTCTATTAGATTTTAGCCAGAGGATTGAAAAACTGTATCGATCAATGCAGAACAAACCTGATAAAAAATGCCCACAGCCAAACTGAATGTTGTGAAAGCAGTCTGGAACACCACTCTGTGTTAATAAGGCATGTCACAAACCAGACTCTATCAGTATTGCAAATGCAATATAAAAAAACAAGTTAGTAGTCATTTTGCATGTTATATTGTTTTCCTTGATTGCAGTCAGTTTGCATTTTTTTTTTTTTTTTTTTTTTGCTGAGAGACATTTTTTAAATAAGGGAACGTAAGAGCAGAAAGAGACAAACTGTGCAGAAAAGAGCACAATATGAAAAAGCCACAGGCTAGTTAAACTCAATCTTACCTGAGTTAAAGTTGCTTAAAATTTTTAAAATCAAAAAGCCTCTGTGTCTCGGCTTACCATTTAATCTGGGTTCCCTCCATAGTGGGCTGCAGACAGTCCGGCCAGCACAAAACACTTCGCCCCTTTCCTCTGTTTTAGCCCTTAGGATCTTGGAAAACTCATGACAATTTCTGTATCTTTATGCTGTCAAGCCACGCCCCCGCCCTCCAGATAGCCGAGAGCTACCAAGGCAACCGACACAGCTGGATTGTGTTAACCTAAACATCTAAAAAGGACTGTTATAGCTCTCGTGAGTCTGAGATGGTCTCTAATAAGGCAAAAAGCTTGGAACAAATGCACTGGTTTTCAGCCAATATTTTCACGATGGTAAAATGCCGGAAAACTAAACTTCACACCAGCATGTGACTGCAGAAAATAAAGACAGATCATTTCTTTTTCTTAAGTATCAGTCCTGTGGTTAGCTCAGATGTCTCTGAGAAAACACAGACAAATCCTAACCAAGATAAAAGCTTAGGGGACAAAGACAAGTCATATGACTTGTCGGACACACACACAGACAATAATGAACCACATAACTGAGGTTAGTGTCTGAAAAGTGACAAATATGGAAAATAAAAAGTAACTTTGAGCAAAGGAAAAACAAACAAGATATGTATTTTTAAGTAGCACAACGTTCTTTAAAACAGGAGCCATGTTTGTTAACTTCAATCAAATCAGCCTCTACACTTTTCTAAGTAACAAAGATGATGATGAGTTTAGGCTATTGTTGCTCACATCTGCAAGATTTGCTCACAACTATTTTAATCTCATTCAATAATTCTGTCAAACAATACAGCAAATAAAATCCTATTTTTAATTTTTTCTATTAAATCCAATAACTGTTTTGCCTCAATGCACTTCAGATAATTTTAATGTTTCCTATAGAAAATGTTTTAATGACAATTAATTGCTCAACATGAGAAATTGTATTTGAGGTCAATCATTCTCATATTAGCCCTGTAGTTGACTGGGATTGAAATACTTCAAAATAATTTAGGACTTTGAAAGTAATTTCAGTCAATACAGCTAAAATCATTTTCCAAATACAAGCCATTTATAACTGTATTTTTATGATAGTGCAGGTACAACAACTACCTGATTGCTCCCAGAATTTTTATTTTACTTAATTACAATTTTTGTCACAAGTAGTTATTCAGACTGTTTTAAACTGCAGTCAGACTGCAAAGAGCTTTTAATTCTCTGGATATGGTGCTTGACTGTTAGGTTTCCTACTTCACACAATATGAAGTCAAGAAAAATGAATTGCTTATTGTGAAGAATTAACCTTGATATCCATGTTTGTTCTAATCAAATGAGAAATGGAAAAGACGACAGAGTGAAAATTTGTTTCTTAGAAGAGTAATTTGATTTTATGCTGAAGCAAATTACCTGCTGAGATGAGGATTCTCCTGCTCATCTGTGACACCTCTTTCATACTGCTGGACCAGTGCACGAACACATATGCTCCTTTCTCCATCTAAACCCCAGCCACTAGAAGACGACACGCAAAATAAAAATAATCCTATTATGTGTAAGAACTGTCTGATTCAACATCTTTATATAAGAAGATGAGCCTGAGCTCACCAGCTCAAATGGAGGATAATTGATTGATATTATTTGTTTGTCCATTAGAGGTCAGCAAATCCTTTGAGGATGTTGCTCTGAGACTCAGTAGATGTGTATCTGGATGGTTTATATGAGCAAAGCCAAAGTAGGTGTAGGCTCAAACAGGCCAGAATAAACAATAAATTATGGCAAGCTTATTACCGGGTAGTTTTTTTAGCTCACCAGTTAAGAGTTTAAATGCTCTAACAGATGATCTAAAAAAAGCTAGCTAATTTTGAATTATCATAATTGAGTAATTATTAAATGATTCAGAAAGGATGCATTTACAACTTCAGCTATTTAATCTGTTTATATAAAGACACCAGATAAGTCAATGTAGGCCACTTTACAGAACACTGGCAAAAAAAAACTAATCGTAACCAATGAAAAATATTACAAGAGAAAATAGGCCTTGTTTTGTGTCTACTTTGGTGTCAGACTTTTTAAAGTTGGACATAGTCACATTACAAACATATTATAATCATCACAGGCTATATATTATTTTTATGCCACAGTCCACAGCTGAAGACAGACAGAAGGTCAAGTTCATCAGACCTCAAATCGAGGTTAAGACTAACCTACAGATTCACAAGATGTAAGTTATTGTGATCCAACAGCAACTAAGATACAGAAATGTATTTCTAAAAGTTTCTCTCTACAATGTGGGATTATTTTACAGTCAACAACACTGGCATACCTATTGATACGTGCGAAACGTATTGGCAGTGAGGCGTCCAGGCGGGCAGATGCCAGAGCAGCAGCAGCCCCTTGAGCCAAAGCAACCGTGGAGAGAGGATTGTGGGTTGCGTTTCCTCCACTTAAGCTCCTCCTACCTCCAGCTGCAGCCCTTTGACTGGCTGAAGGTTTGAAATGGGCTGCCAGAGCCAGAATAATCCTCATGATGGACTTCAGGTTCCCATCAACGATGTCTAAAATTCCAAAACAAAGCCTGTGATGCAGATGTCTATCAACCATAAAAAGTTTCTGTTTTTCTTTTATGCTGTTAAATGATCTCCTTATAAAAAGCCTGATCAATAGATACAGTTTCAATCTCAGTAGGGAGACCAAGCAGAACAACTTATCAGAGAAATTAGTTTTTGTTCACCGCATTTCACCAGCATAATACAGCAATAACTGATTTTCTACTATTGTCCAAAGAAAGGAGACCAAGTGTGTGTGGAAAACAAAGCAGAAAGAAGACAGACAAGGTGAGATAACCTTCTAATGGTATATCTTTGACTGAAACTGACATTCAGTGAGGTTAGATATATAAAAAGAACAGCTGTATAAAAAAAATGTGTAAAAATAATTACTTTTGACGTACCTTTTGCAGATATGTGTGACATGCGTATGTTTCTAGAGGAAATGAACTTTAAGACTTCCTCCACATTCTTTCTGCTTTCCTCTTTGTTCAGTGGAGGTGTGTAGACTCCCTGCAGAACCTCACCAGCTGCCATAATAAAAAAAGCACAGATAAAGAACATTAAGGACCTTATGTTGAGGGATGTGATATCCCAATCAAAACTTCGTTCTCACACAATTCAAGTGACTGAAAAGGCATTTGAGGTCCCATTCTGACAATTCAATAAAAACATAAGACAACCAAAAGGAAAAAAAAGTGCAATCTGTGACCTTGAAAAGAGAATAGCTTAAAAATGCAGCAAAACAGAACACTACCTTCACTCTCGTCAATTTTTCTTGACAGCAACAGACATTTTATCCACACACATTTTATCTGAACTCTAGGAGTTTTTGCAGGACAGCGTTCAGCTTCTAAAAATATATTTGACTCATTGCTGCAGTCTTTGGTAAACTAACACCTTGTTTCTGCTGCTGATGTTTTCATGCGAAGAAGTCTGTGAAATGCTAAGCTACAGGTCTCAAACTCCAGCACTGAAGAGCGACTGTGCTTCAGGAAGTGGATGACTGAAGATGATGTCATCCACTTCAGCAGTCGCGGTAATGGTCCATGTACTGGATTTTATTTGATTGTCGTAAGTCCAAAACTTGAGATGTTTGCAAAAGCAAATCTGTTTTTTCAATTAGACAAAACTTCAAAATATCTAAAGAAAGAAAAACTTTAAAGCCTGAAAGGCACTCAAATTTTATGAGCTGAACAAATGTGTTTGGACTATAATAAATGAGCTATTTTAGCAGCAAATACCAGGTGCTTTTTGAAAAATGGTTGCAAATTGCAGCACAGGCATGTGTTTGTCTAGACCTATAAAACAGAGAGCTTGAGCTTAATTAAAGATGATGATTCTGATCATTTAAGAATGACGTAAGTAGACATTTTGGGACTGTTTTGCTCGTCTCATAGAGTCACAAAAAATTACATCATATTAGGCAGATCCAATCAAAAACAATTATGAAGCTTTTCCCCAATTGAGTTAATTCTACATGTGGTACTGTATATCAGCATATGTGTGAATCTGTGTATATTTACCAACAATCTCTATGAGTTGAACAAGCACAACTCCATCCTGCAGATCATGGCGGAGGTCTCCAATGGGCTGCAGTCCCAGCTTCCTCTTCAGCTGAGAGTTCACCCAGGAAACATATGCTGCCAGCTGCTGCTGCAAGTCGTCAATCAAATGCACACATCCAACACACCACAGATAGACACATACACAGATGCAGGGCTTAGTGATTGGGGCCACATGAAGCTCAGACAAATAAGAGCCTTTGTTGCTGCTAGGACAGAGCAAAGGGAGGGCGCCAGGGAGGAAGGTCAGCCTATTGTCCCAGTAATTCCAATTTTGCTTTTGCTCCTGCAGATCCCTTATTTAAAGTTTTACTCTTGACTTACATATTCCTTCAAGACATTAGCTTTAATAAATGTGATCGTTGCTCATTGTCATCAGAATAGATCACAAACAAGGCACACATTTTACGCACAGCAGAGGTAATTTCAGGTTTGGCTTCCTGTGTTATTTAGCTTCCTTAGCTAAAGTAAGATTGAAGAGCTCCAGTAAGGATATGGCCTAACAACTACATATAATACATTTAGACTCATTGATGACGTTATTAGTACTTTATTACTAAGTGTCGTATCAACTTTTTTTTGGTTGGAATAAAACATTTACACTCGCGATGCTACTCGCATGTACAAGATTGACATATCTATAAAAAAAACTAAACTTATTTTAATTGTTCGTATAAAGAAACGCGCACGCGCCTTTAAGCTTTGAAAATGTAAGCAATGTCCGCTTGCTTATTGGCTCAGGAAATTTACCAAACACCGAACCAGCAACGCTGGGTTACCTCATTGTAGCCCCCATGAAGAACCTCATCCAGCAAACTTCCTCTTGAGAGTGAAGCGATCATCTTTTAACTCGAAACTCCATTTAAAGACGGCTAACCAGCTAACTGTCACAGCACTAGCCTGAACAACGGGCGGACCCCGTTACTAACCACTGCTGGACTCAAACAAACGTCAGTTGAGCCAGACAATTGATGGCTCAAAGCAGGCTACCGTTACTCTGGACAGCAGACCTGTTGTCAAGTCAGCCATGGTAACAACGGCCACGTCCGGTGACGTTTCACAATAAAACACTTGACTGACTTAACACCATACAAAGAAAATTTACGCCCCCTTGTGGAGGAGGATTGGCACCTAAATCGGCAAATTCTTGGGTATTTTATGCAAAGAATGTATGAAATAAGCAAAAGGATGTGTTTAGTGAGATTTAATAAATCAAAGATAAAAAGTTGTGAAAAGGGTTTGACACTTGACAGATTTCTACCATTTTTGCTTTTTTGTCTAGCAAATGTCAAATCATTAAAAATATTTTATTGTACTTGAGGAACATGAGGAACTAAAAAAATGTTATGGAAACCAACTTGTCCTTCATGAAAAAATAGATGCTTCCTAACCGTTTGGCATTAACCACTTACATCAAGCTGGTCTGATATTAATTTACCTGAGAAAAAAATAACTAAACATCAGTTTGTTTAATCATTTTACACTTTTATTGATAAAATACCAATGAAGCTGGTATTCAGTTGGTCAATTTTTATCTTATCTCAAAATAGGGCATAGTCAAAAACAAATAAATATGCAAGGGAGGAATATTTTTATGAGTACAGTAAATGTTCAAAATTTAAGAGTGAAAATAATAAAGAAATCATTTCCTTAAAGGTAAAGAGAAAAAAAATATTAAAATTTTTTTTAATCAAGTTTAAGTCAAGTACATTTTTTAATTTCTGAAATTAGGATTGTGCTCTCTTGTTGTTTCTCAGCACAAATTTTATTTGTATTTTATAACTGTATTGTGATACAGAACAAAGATAATGAAACTCTGCATACGTTATACAAAGGGAAGCAAAAACTCCTGCCTCTCAAATGTCAACAGATCCAATAGAAGATATGCCATCAGCTTTCATTGTTCGGAGGGAAAACTGCTTGAGAATCTTTCTCTGTGTGATCAGATAGGTGCTGACTCTTCATGGGAATGGACATGACTGGATCCTTCGTGGACATGACTGGATCCTTCGTGGACATGACTGGATCTTCCGTGGACATGACTGGATCCTTCGTGGACATGACTGGATCTTCTGTGGACATGGCTGGATCCTTCGTGGACATGACTGGATCTTTCGTGGACATGACTGGATCCTTCGTGGACATGACTGGATCCTTCGTAGACATGACTGGATCTTTCGTGGACATGACTGGATCCTTCGTAGACATGACTGGATCTTTCGTGGACATGACTGGATCTTTCGTGGACATGACTGGATCCTTCATGGACATGACTGGATCCTTCCATGTCAACATTCAGGACTGAATCTGTAACAAAGGAGGCAAAGCAATTTTTCAGCAATGTTGAAGGTTAATTATTCAACTCTGCAAATTTATGTGGACTAGTTTTAGGTAGTTTTGCAAGATCTTACCAAAGACTGGTGGGATTCATAGTTTCTAGTGAACAATAGCAACAGATTGTTTGATTTCTGAAAAAATCTCAACAAGGAGCGCATCCTATCTTGTGTTGCTTGGTAAATACATTGTTTTTGGAATTACACCGCAAAGCTATTTAAAACATAAAGTTATCTTCAGCTTAGTTAGCATCATAATTTATTTCAACTACTCTGAGAGACGTCAGTCTTGTTAAAAGAAGTTAATGTTTTAAATCCAGGACTCAACGAGATATTTCCAAATTCAACAAGAAACAAATTACTCAAAATAGAGACAAAAGCATTAACAAGTTTTTATTATGAAACCTAGCATACTATGGTTAAAGTACGGGCTAAAACATCCTTTTATGTAACATGCAATAAAAGTGCATATTGCTTTTATGCACTTTAATAAAAGTGCATAAAAGAGCACTTTTGTGTACTTTTATAAGTGCACTATTAACAGGGTTCGTAAAAAGCACCAAATTAGTAAAGAGCTAGTTTCTCTGAGATGATCATTCTTTTAAGCTTTTTAAGTGGAAAATTCACAAATAATTAGCTGCTGTCTGCCTTCCGACAGAATGGCGGTCTGTCCAGAGTGACCCTGCCTCTCGCCCGAAATGTCTTGCTGGAGATAGGCACCAGCACCCCTGCAGACCCCACTAGGGATTAGGGAGTAAAGAAAATGGATGGATAGCTGCTTGTTCCATGTGTATGCAGGTTCATGTCTTACCAATCTGCATAGTAATTTTGTTCAGCATGTCATGGTAAGGGAGGTAGATGTTTCTGGGTCCGGATGGAGAGAAATGTATATTTCCATCAAGAGATATATTGTCATCAAACAGGCACAGCTGAGAGAGAAGGTGAAGAGGTTAACTGTGTGTATTTCCCTCCTATCAGTACAATGACAAAATGCATACATAGTGAGCTTCATCTTATTTTATGTGTACCTTCTTTTCAAGAGTTTCTGTGTCAGCTTGAGAAGCGTTATGCTTTGTTCTTTATTCAGATCACTGAGCAACAGCGTGGCTCGAGCAAGAGTCAAAACAGACCCAGGTGGTATACATGTCCGTCCCGACAGGAGATTCACTGCTTTCTAAATAACAGATATAAACATAAGGAGAACCTTAGTTTATCATAGTCCTATTTGATGGACAGAATTTAATAAAGTGAAAGAAAAATGAAAATGTGACTAATTTGTGTTTGATACTCTCAAGGTGCAAATACCCTAACCCTAAATCCTAGCTATGATTTGCTTAGATTTTTTTCTTTTAGCCGTTTCGGTGTTAAAATTAAGTGTGGTGTAAACATGAACCTATCAAAACTGGCAACAAGACTGCAAAAAGAAAAAAAAAAACACTAACATGTAAAAGACAGATCAAGTCTATGTTAAAAAAAGAAGTCCCAAGTATACATTTAGCTAAACAATCTTAAGTTCATTAAAAAACTTAGAAGCAGCTAAAAAAAGAAAAAGAAATGAAGAAGAAAAATAAATATTTGAAAAACATAAATAAATGACATTTACAAAAAAAAATTCAAGTTTCATACAATCAACAAATTCATTGTTATTACAGGTCATTAACAGTACATGACAGTGATGACTTCCTTATAACATGAGTTAACTTTTGTTCTAACATCTTTTGTCAAGATGCATGCTATCTATTCATATCAACATAAATTCTGTGTAGTATGCATTAATATGTTGTGAAAAGTGCCCTTAATTATTATCTAAATTTCTAAAAATAGAGAAAACAAAAGGTTGCCTCTGTCTGTGTTTGTACCTTCAGCATTGGCATGCACTCATCAGTCCTGTTTCTCCGTACTTCTAATTCTACAGCTTCCACTATAAACAGAGCTTGAATATCTTGGTCTCCCCATTGCAGACATTCTTCCAGTCCCTGCTGTATCACCTGATATATTTCTTCATTAATGTTCTTTCCTTGAAAGACAAAATGCCATTCATTAACACACAAAAAACTAATTAATCATATAGTTCATGTTTTGCTATCACATTGCATATCACACGTTAGGAGAGATTTATCAATAACATCGCTAACTAAGGTTTTCTTATGATTTTTAGAGTGCTATTTTATTCATACTCACACTTACATTTCTGCAATATTATTGTATAATTAACATAAAATGGAATCATGAAAAACTTGGGGGGGGGGAAAAAGTCTAAAAGCTTCTAAAACCTGGAAAAAGAGTTGCAGTAGCAGTGATGTTAGCAGTCAGGCAGTGGACCAGAGTGAGACGGCAGCGCAGCCACAGCAAAACTCCAATTCTCTCACGGGCTTCAACAGCCTTGGACATGTCCCTTTGCAGGTCATCTGGTCCACTGCAGTCTTTGGTGTCCTTAACAAAATATAAAACAATACTGTTGTTACGGCCACTAGCCTTTTGAGACTGTGCAGGCTTCTTTTTGCTATGCAGGATCAGCTGTGAGGCCATACCTTCTGATTGGCTGCCTGGAGGCTGCAGGAGCGCAGCCACCAGCAGAGATTTGCAAGCCAATCAAGACATTGATGAACCTCACCTCACCTGGTCCCTATAAAAGGCTCCTGAAGTCATTCCTCCAGTGGGGCAGCTTGTAGGAAAAGGTTTTGTTCAGCTATCCCCCACCTTTGGTGCTTGTAACTGTTTTGTGCAGTTTTGAGACATTTTGTTCTTGCTTGTTCTGCTAAGCAGTTTGACTTTGGAATAGTCTGATTTCACAAGCGAGATGTTCATGTTTGGGAGGCTTAGTGCTCCCTTTGTGTGTGTATATGTGTGTTTTTGTTTTGTTTTTCCTTTCCCTTTTGGGCTATTTAAGTTTACCTTAGACTTGTTTGGACATTTTGCAACTTTAATTTGCACTTAACCTTTTCAGTTTGTTAAAAAGGTTAACAAACTGAACCCTGTTTTGTGTTAATTGGGTTATATTGTACTGTGCTTTGGTTTTGTGAAACCATCTGTTTTTTGTAATAAATCATTTTACATTCCACTTATTTTCTCTGGCCACATCTTTATGTTACCGTCCCTGAACCTCTAGACCTCGGGGGGCGTAACAAGTGTAAATAAGTTCTGGGTGATAAAGATTCAGTGCAGCACAACAGAAAAACACTTTTATAAAGAAGGAAACTAAAGAGAAAGAAGCAGTATCTAAAAATTGAGAGCTGTTATAAATGTGGTTATATGCAGTTATTAAATATAGGAATGTACTTAATTTGTCAGATATTTCTCTTTAAGATTTTTATTGGTAAAAAAAAATACATTTTTAGGGCCGGGTGAATAGTAGGTGAATTTTTTTATTTTATTTTATTTATGTATTAGTGTGTAAAAATAAAAAATAAAAAAAAACTGATGTGCTTTGTTTTCACCACATACGGATACATGTGCCACTTTACCTGTTTACTTCCAGGAGATGATGGTGTCACAGGAACAGGAGGTGTCTGCAGCAACACCAAAGCTGAAACTGCAGCCTCAGCACTAGGGAAGAGCAATCAAACATGGCAACATAGAACACTTACCAAATACTAAGGATCTAAAGACATAACTGTTGCCTAAATCCACATTGAAGTGTGGGTACCTTAGTGCATAGTTTTCTTGCTGCAGATAGAGGTTAGCTTT